ATATATCTATATATATATATATATATATATATATATATATATATTTACTTTTCTTTTCAACCTAAAACAATGAACTGTGCAGACATACATGATTTTATTTATTTTTTTTTATTGTGGAGAAATGAAGTATAATGTTTAAGTGAGTATAATTTACTCTGTCTATTAGTACTAATATTTGCAAAGGAAATGACAGCAAAACTGCTAAAACTAGTATTTTTTTGTTGTGGAACTGCCGTATAACTCGATTTTACAACGTTGCACTACTAAATTATGTCCAGTAGATGGAGCCATCAGATCAGTAATGATTTAAAGTTGTCTCGTTGGCCTTACTTTAAGCATATCAGGGGTCAAAATGTCACACGGCTGAACATACCTGTTGAAGACTTAACTTCCTTCTTTAGAGTGTACAAGGATGACAGTTGTTTATCCCATTGTCATGAACCCCCCCCCCCCCCCCCACACACACACACACACACACTGTGACGCTTTTCAGGGACTGAAGGGGTCACGGTCAGGTGGCCCCTCAGAGAAAACTGAAGGCCGTCTTTCTGTGGGACAGTGAGGTGAAGCAGGCGATAGGGGCGGATGAGAGCAGCTTAATGCTCCGTGTAATGCATGTTAATGTAACAGGCACCGGGGGAGCGGCGGACCTGCTGCTTTGGGATTATTTATCACAAAACATTTGTATTCTTCCGTCGGAAAATGCTTGATCCTGGATAGCAGCACACTAATCCTTCACTCCGTTAATTAAAAAGAAGGGGGAAGCAATGGAACTGGTGGTGGTGAATGTTTTTTTTTTCCCCTCCTTCTTCAGAAATGTAATCATTTCTGGAGAAGCTTAACCATCTGTTTGAGGTTAAGTCTCCAAGCAGATTGTGTTTTCTGCTTATTTAAACCTGCGGATTTAGGGTTATTTTGGTTTCCTGAAAAGGAGAGGATGTGGTATTTCTGGGCTGCTTGTTGGAGGGATGGGTTCAAACCAGTTGTCAGTGGAAATACGAGGAATGCAGCATTCTCCTAAATGAAGGCAGCGACTGATTGCAGTGACCTTTTGATTTAGAAGTAAGTGGTGACCTGTGATAACTCATTTTAAATGTCAGACTCGAACGAATTTGCGTCCGGTTTTTTTAAATTGTATTTATTTATTTTAAAAAGAAACTGCACAAGCAGCCTCTATTTGAACTCAGGACAAGTTGAGGGGAACTTAGACATCAGATGATGCAATCTTTCACTTTAAGAAGTGATTTAATGGAAAATATAACCCCAAGAGGATAAAAAAAAAAAAAAAAAA